AGCGCTGCACTTTATGACTAATGTATGCAGGCCTATTATCTGTTTTTATTTCTTTAGGGATTCCCATAATTGCAATACAGGCGTATAAATGTCGAATTACATGTACAGCCTTTTCTCCTGTTTGAGCTGTTGCCCAAACCATATGGGAAAAGGTGTCAATGGTTACATGGACATATTTTAGTTGTCCAAAGGATGGTACATGGGTAACATCCATCTGCCATAGATCTCCGGAACGTAGTCCCCTGGGATTTACCCCCAATCCCAATAGGCCACTTTGCTGACTACACTGATCACAAGATTTGACAATACCTTGTGCATCTGCTATACTTAAGGAAAATTGACGTTTTAAAATTTTGGCTCCTTGGTGAAACATCGCATGACTTAAACGTGCCGCTTCCAAGGTGTTCACCTGGGTACTGTGAGAAAAAGACACAAGTTGATCCGCACGTTCATTTCCTTCCCCTAGTCCCATTGGGAGTTGATGACTACGAATATGTATTATACAACATGATTGTTCTCTTTGGCCTAAACACTGCTGTACTGCAAGAAACAACTGACTCAATAATGCTCATTCTTGTTTTTGTATTATTGCATCCTCGATTCTATTGACTACTCCCACTACATATAATGAATCAGTAACAATATTCAGAGGCTCCAATAGCCAATTTTGCAAAGCCCATAAAACTGCTTTTAATTCCAAAGTCTGTAATGAATCCTCTTGTTCTCCAATTAGAACCTTTTCCTGCCATTTCCCATCCTGTTGCCATACACACGCCGCCTTTCGTGTGCGCTTGCCAGCGTCTGTAAAAACAGTGACTGCATTTTCTAAAGGTGATGAAACCACAATAGTCCTGGGTGTCCACTTCTGCTGAGTGAGAAATCTAGTGACTGGACCCTTCAATGATTGTGCGTTTAGGGATCCAGGATATCCTTCTAAAGCAAATTGTAAAGACACAGAGTTCATATATAACCATTGTAACATATCTTTTCTAATTGGTAACCATATTTCATTCGGCTCTTTACTGCTAACATCTATACAACGCTTTCTTCCTTTCATGATTAACAAAGCAACAATTCTGTGCGTTGAAAAATACTCCTTGGAGGTGTAAAAGGTGGAAAAAGCCATTCTAGAATTTTTTCCTGCTGTTCTGTACACTTGCTCTCCCCCTTTTTCTTTTTGAAAGGCAAGTGCTGAAAAAGGAAGGCATGAGCATCATGCACAGGAGAATTGCAATACAGAAAAATAGGGTAATTTGGAGCTACACGATCAACACCCGTAGTATGATTGATTTTATCAGCCAAATATTGCAGGTGATTTTGCAGTGTTGGTGTCCAATTAATTGGCTTGGCTGGATCTGTACCACTCAAAAGAGTGATTATTGGTTGTAAATCCTGATTTGTAAGACCAGTCAAAGGACGCAGCCATTGTAAGTATCCTGCTAATTTTTGAACATCAGCCAACGTCTGAATTTGAGTTATTATTAATGGTTTCAAAGGTTTTACAGATTTCAGAAAAATTTTCCAGCCTAGATATTGCCAAGGCATAGATCGCTGTATTTTTTCTGGTGACACCTCCAATGAATACTTCTTTAACATATCAACAATATCTAATAATTCACTGTCTAATATTTTTGTAGGGGAACAAAATAAAATATCATCCATATAATGATAAATTAGCATGTTAGCATATTTCTGTTGGATAGGGTGTAATGCCCATCCTACATACAATTGACACATTGTTGGACTGTTTTTCATTCCTTGTGACAGGACTGTCCATTCATATTGCTGGTCCGGTGCGGCTTTGTTCACACTTTTTAAAGTAAAGGCAAAACGGCATGTATCTTGGGACCCGAATGGTATCATAAAGAAACAGTCTTTTAAGTCTATTACGATAATATGCCAATCCTCGGGCAACATTGTAAGTAGTGGCATGCCAGGTTGTAAGGCACCCATAGGCCACATTTGATCATTAACTTTACGCGTCATGTAATAGTCTCCATTTATCAGATTTTTTAGGAATTACAAATATCGGTGTATTCCAAGGGCTGATGGAGGGTTTAAGATGTCCCTGTTGTAATTGTTCTTGAACTAATTTAGCCGCTATTTCGTGCCGTTCTTTGGTGAGAGGCCACTGCTCAACCCATACTGGTTCATTTATTTTCCAGGGGATATTAGGAACAGGTGGCGCATCAACAGTGGCCTTTACTAAAAAAACGAATTAGGAACTGGAATGGTTAAGGTAGCACCCAGTTGAGACAGTATATCACGGCCAAGTAAACCCTGTAGATCACCTGGTAAAGGCATAACATATGGTCTTATATTTATTATTTGCCCTTCTTCAAACTGAAATTGAATAACGTCTTGACTTTGAAGTGGTGCTCATCCACCCTCAACCCCTTGTACCGTATCTTTGGCTTGAGTTAGAGGCCAATGTGATGGCCAGATGTGTCGTGACAAAATAGTAACATCAGCGCCAGTATCAGACATCATTTTAATATTTCTTTGATCCCGTTTTCTTTTCAAAATTACTGTCAGTTGAGGGCGTTGTTGCATCTGTTGAACAAGGTTAACTAAATGCTGCCCAGTAGAGCCAAATCCCTTTGTATCTCTATTTTCACAGGAAGCAGTAGGGGTAGCGTGATGTCGCTCATATAATAAAAGTTGTGCAATCTGTGTCCCTTTCTTAATGGTTAAAGGTGGAGCTCTAGAACACCTGCAGTTCATTGCTGACATCATTATATGGGGGACAAAGCCGAGGAATTCTTTGAGAAAGGAAAGAAGATGATTGAAATCCTCCTGAAGTCCAGTTTTGCTATTAAGCAAAAGAAATTTAAGGGGCCTGCAAGGGAAATTCCATTCCTCGGGATAAATTGGCAAGATGGGCATTGCCACATCCCAATGGAGGTAATAAACAAGATAACAGCCATGGCCCCACCAACTTCTAAAAAGTAGACTCAGTCTTTCCTGGGTGCTGTGGGGTTCTGGAGGATGCACATCCCGAACTACAGCCTGATTGTGAGCCCTCTCTACCATGTAACCCGTAAGAAGAACGATTTTGAATGGGGCCCTGAGCAACAACAATCCTTTGAACAAATTAAGCGTGAGATTGCCTAAGCAGTAGACCTCAGGCCATTCAGGGGAGGGCAGGAGGTTAAGAACATGCTCTACATTGCAGCTGAGGAGAATGGCCCTACCTGGAGCCTCTGGCAGAGAGCACCTGGGGAAACCTGAGGTAAACCTCTAGGCTTTTAGATCCAGGGATACAAAGGCTCTGAAGCTAATTACACACCAACTGAGAAGGAGATACTGGCAGCATACAAAGTATTTCAGGCTTCCTCAGAAGTGGTCGGCACTGAAACACAGCTCCTCCTGGCACCCCGACTAATGGTGCTAGGGTGGATGGTCAGAGGAAAGGCTTCCTCCATGCATCATGCAACAGATGCCAAATGGAGTAAAAGGGTTGCGTTGATAAAACAACATGCTCGAATAGGGAACCCCAGCTGCCTAGGGATACTACAGGAGATTACAAAATGGCCAGAGAGCAAAGATTCTGGGATGTCACCAGAACAGGAGGTGACATGTGCTAATGAAGCCCCACCATATCACGAGCTGCTGGATGATGAGAAGTGATATGTCCTGTTCACTGATGAGTCTTGTCGCATGGTGGGAAAACATCGACGATGGAAGGTTGCTGTGTGGAGTCCCACATGATGGGTCACTGAAGCTGCTGAGGGACAGGGTGAATCGAGCCAGTTCGCAGAGGTGAAAGCCATCCAGCTTGCTTTGGATATTGCTGAGCGGGGAAAGTGGCCGAGGCTCTACCTTTACACTGACTCGTGGGTGGTGGCAAATACCCTGTGGAAATGGTTGCAGCAATGGAAACAGAGCAACTGGCAACGTAAGGGTAAAACCATCTGGGCTGCTGAAGTATGGCAGGACATTGCAGCCCATGTGGAAAACCTCGTTGTGAAGGTGCACCATGTGGATGCCCATGTACGCAAGAGTCAGGCCACTGATGAACATCAACACAACCAGCAGGCAGACCAAGCTGCTAAGAATAGAGAGGCTCGGGTGGACTTGGACTGGCAGCACAAGGGTGAACTGTTCATAGCCCGGTGGGCCCATGAGGTCTCAGCCACCAAGGCAGAGATGCAACATACAGGTGGGCTCAAGATCGAGGGATGAACTTTACTATTGACACCATTGCAGAGATCATCCATGGCTGTGAGACGTGTGCTGCAATCAACCATGCCAAGCGGGTGAAGCCCCACTGGAATGGAGAGCGATGGCTGAAATATAGGTATGGAGAGGCCTGGCAGATCGACTACATCACACTGCCACAGGCCCGCCAAAGGAAGTGCCACGTGCTCACAATGGAGGAAGTAACCACTGGGTGGGTGGAACCTTACCCAGAGCACCACACCACCTCCTGGAACACCATTCTGGGCCTTGAAACCCAAGTCCTGCGGCAACACGGCACCCCAGAGAGAATTGAGTCAGACAGTGGGACCCACTTCTGAAACAACCTCATAAATGCCTGGGCAGAAGAACACGGCATCGAGTGTGTCTACCATATCCCCTACCACGCACCAGGCTTTGGGAAGATCAAGCGCTACAATGGACTGTTAAAAACCACATTGAAAGCATTGGGAGGTGGGACCTTCAAACACTGGTATATGTATCTGGCAAAGAGGATCTGCTAGTTGAGCTGGTCCGGCTCAGTCAAAACTTCCACATGCTGTAGATGGGGATAAAGTCCCTGTGCTATGAATGAAGGATGTATTGGGAAAAATGGTCTGGTTTAGTCCTGCGCCAGGCAAAGGCAAACCGATCCACGGGATTGCTTTTGCTCAAGGACCTGAATTCTCCTGGTAGGTGATACAGGACAATTAAGTGATGTAATGTGTACCACAGGGGGACTTGATTTAGGGTGAGAACATATTGCGAATTATGCTTTGCCTTTGTTCGTTTTTGTTTTGTTATTGTTAACTGCTAAATGTCAACTGGACATACACAGATGCAATAGAATAAAGGGGTGGTTTATGTCCTGGTTCAGCTAGGATAGGGTTAAGTTTCCCCAGCAGTGGGGAGGGGGCTCTAGCCGGGTTATTCTGATGTCAGGTCCATGTGCCAAGCGCGGGAACAGCTTTCCTCTGTTGCTTTTGTCTGCGAAAGCATGCGTAGTGGGCTTGCTGTGTCCTTTGTCATATATTTCTGTATATCTTTTGTCTTCTTAACTGTTATTACTGTTTGTTGTTTTTGCTACTGCTATTGCTCTTGTTCAGTTTATTATTTGATACACTGCTGTTTTAAATCTCTTGTTATTTTAACCCCAGGGTTTGTGCCTCACTCCCAGCCCTATCATTTCTGAGGGTGGAGGAAGGACAACAGCAATGTTGTCACTGGTCCCGGCAGGGTCTAAACCACCACAAAGAGACAGTCAATGATCTACTGCATCACATAGACATACACAGGTCTATGGGATCAGGTGGGATACTCCTGAGGGTGCTGAAGGAGCTGGCTAGGGTGCTCACCAATCTGCTTTCCATCATTTACCAGCAGACCTGGCTGACCAGGGATGTCCCAACAGATTGGAAATTGTCCAATGTGACACCCATCTATAAGAAGTGTCAGAAGGATGATCCAAGAAATTACAGATCTATCATCTTAATGTTTGTACCCAGGAAGCTGATGGAGCAGCTCATCCTGAGTACCATCACACAACACATGTGGGACAACCAGATGCTCAGGCCCAGTCAGCACGGGTTTATGAAAGGCAGGTCCTACTTGACAAACCTGATCTCTTTCTACGACAGGGTGACCTGCTTATTGTATGAGGGAAAGGCTATGGGTGTAGTTTACCTTGACTTTAGCAAGGCCTTTGACACCATTTCCCACAGAATTCTCCTGGCAAAACTGGCTGATCGAGGCTTGGATGACGGCACTCATTTGGGTAAAAAACTGTCTGGATGTCTGAGCCCAAAGAGTGGTGGTGAATGGAGTTAAATCCAGTTGGTAGATGGTCACAAGTGGTATCCCCTGGGCTTAGTTTTGGGGCCACTCCTGTTTAACATCTTTATTGATGATCTGGACGAGGGGATCAAGTGCACCCTCAGTCAGTTTGCAGATGACACCCAGTTGGGTGGGAGTGTTGATCTGCTCGAGGGTAGGGAGGCTCTGCAGAGACACGTGGACAGGCTGGAGCCATGGGCTGAGGCCAACTGGAGGAGTTTCAATAAGGCCAAATGCCGGGGGCTGCCGTTGGGCCACAACAATCCCCAGCAGCGCTACAGGCTTGGGGAGGAGGGGCTGGAGAGCTGTCAGTCAGAGAGGGACCTGGAGGTATTGATTGACAGCCCGATGAACAGGAGCCAGCAGTGTGCCCAGGGGGCCAAGAAGTCCAATGGCATCCTGGCTTGTGTTAGCAGTAGCGTGGCCAGCAGGGACATGGAAGTGATCTTACCCCTGTGCTTGGCACTGGTGAGGCCGCACCTCGATGACTGTGTTCAGTTTTGGGCCCCTCACTACAAAAAGGATATTGAATGACTTGAGTGTGTCCACAGAAGGGCAACGAAGCTGGTTCAGGGTCTGCAGCACAGGTCGTATGGGAAGCAGCTGAGGGAACTGGGGTTGTTTAGTCTGGAGAAGAGGAGGCTGAGGGGATACCTCATGGCCCTCTACAAGTATGTGAAAGGAGGGTGCAGAGAGCTGGGCATGAGTCTCTTTGACCAAGTAACAAGCTATAGGACAAGAGGTAATGGCCTCAAGTTGTGCCAGGGATGGTTTAGACTGGATATCAGGAGGTATTTCTTCCCAGAACGAGTTTTTAGGCATTGGAATGGGCTGCCCAGGGAGGTGGTGGAGTCCTAATACCTCTTAGGAATATGGTGTAGTTGGGTACTGTCAGTGCTAGATCAAATGTTGGCCTAGATGATCTTCAAGGTCCTTTCCAATGTCGTTGATTCTCTGATTCTAAGAATAGCTCAAAGACTACAGCTAGCTTAGGAGAATGGAGCAAAGAGAGATTCAAGGAATTATTTATAAGGATTTTGTATGCTTACCTTTTACTGGCTCCTTTGTGTAGGATTACTCAAATGTGAGGTAGCTAGACCGTTCTGAAATCCTGAATCAGAATCCACTGTGCAGCTAAAAGATTGCCCTCAGGAGGAAAGTTGTTTTTTCATTCCGAGAAATGTCAAACAGTGAGTTTTCCCCCTAACATGCAAATGATTTTAAAACACTTTTTTTTTTTTTTTTTTAATTATAAAGAAAGAAAAATATATTTATTTTCCTCATAGTCTTTTTTTTTTTTTTTTTT